GCTTGTTTTTTTTTTTCTTCTTTTCAAAACAGCACACTGGAGCCAATGTTAGAGAAATGGGTCGACAGTGTTGGGGGTTTCAGATTCTAGAATGTGATGATGTCATACTGCCCGATGAGGTTGATGTACTTGATGTACAATGCTGCAGAATGGTGAAAACTTTTTAAAAACTGATAATAACTGATTAATAGTATCGATCATCACCCATGCTCTAAATATGTAAAAACATGATACAAAACTGTGCACAGCAACTTCACAAACTTGATGGGCAGTAGTTTCATTAGATAGCACTCTGAAGGAAGAGAGACTTAGCGCAGAGAGCAAAAGAGGGGGGATTACCACCAGCTCATTAAACATATTAATACATTGTTTTTGTGCAATATAACATTTAAAAAAAAGTAAAGGGCACATGGGGATCTAAATATGTTGTGTTGTTATGTGCAGCTTAAATCCCATAGTGTAATACTCCCTCTGCACGGTAATGCTAACAACTACGATTCTAACCACACACTTCCTGATTGTGGGATGATTAAACACTGAATTATAAACATGCAGACAGTACACAGGGGCCTTCTTCTTCCTCTGATACAGTATATCTGTACTGCGGCAAGAGGAATCTCACTAAAATACAGGAAGAAAAAAGAGAACAGGCTCTTGAAACACCAAGTTCAAAAGGAAATCTCATTCTTCTTCATTACTTTGACTAAGGGAGCAGACAAGGGGAGAGGTGCTTCCTCCAGGGTTCAGAAGTCAAAGGTCAAGTGAGCAGAGTAGGGGATGATGGGTAATGATGCTCTCAGGAGAGTCTACCAGACCAGTGTAGTTTTTCAACAGCAGACAGAAGACTTCCCTCAGCACATCCACAGTCTAATGATGCAACCAGTGCAGACCTCCACTCCTCCTGCTCACACAGTCACATACGAGACATACTGAGGCAAGATCATGTATGACGCAAATTACAAATTTAGATGAAATTTATATTTGAAAAACAACATATTATGTGTTTTGGTTTGTTTTTGATGCTCTGAGTCCCACCCTTTCCTCTCCATGCTAAGCAGCTCGGCCCCTCAGCCCTCGGCCCCTCAGCCCTCGGCCCCTCAGCTCTGCTCAGAGGACGGCTCTGGTCTGGATTATCAGGGGACTTTTTCTCCAGTCCGATCCAGTCACAAGACCCAGCTCAGGTCCAACTGACCACGCTGACCTCAGCTTTATACAGTCACACTGTTCTCACGCAGATGCACAGCAGGTTGGCAGAGAGCGGGCAGTGTCTTCCACAGGGACACAATGAACATCAAGCAAGATTTGAACCATCAACCTTCTGGTCAGATGGTGAATAGGACTAACTGACATACAGTACTAATGAGCACCTCAGACACAAAGTGAGTCTGCGGCAACAGCAGTGTTAGTGTGGTACTGTAACTGTACATTTAAGTGATACATAAAGGATTCTTTTTATATTTCACTAAACTTTGGTCTTAGACAACCACTCGCTTTAACTCAGGAACCAATCTTCCTTATTATCGCATCTTATTATTATGTGTTGCAAAAAAGCTGAAAGCAACAATCTAAAAATCCAAGTGTTCAGATGAAACGACGTGAAGGAGAAAGTGCAGCACAAGACCCACAGACACGACTGTCCTCTAGCCCTGTCTGTGTGTGTGTGTGTGTGTGTCTGTCTGTGTGTGTGTGTGTGTGTGTGTGTCTGTGTGTGTGTGTGTGTGTGTGTGTGTGTGTGTCTGTCTGTGTGTGTGTGTGTGTCTGTCTGTGTGTGTGTGTGTGTGTGTGTGTGTGCGTGGGTGCATGTACGTGTGTGTCTGTGTGCGTGTGTGTGTATGTACGTGTGTGTGTGTGTGTGTGTCTGTGCGTGGGTGCATGTACGTGTGTCTGTGTCTGTGTGTGCGTGTGTGTGTATGTACGTGTGTGTGTGCGTGTGTGCGTGCGTGTGTATGTACGTGTGTGTGTGCATGGGTGCATGTACGTGTGTGTGTGTGCGTGTCTGTGTGTGTGCGTGTGTGTGTGCGTTTGTGTGTGTGCGTGGGTGCATGTACGTGTGTGTATGTACGTGTGTGTGTGTGCGTGTGTGTATGTACGTGTGCGTTTGTGCGTGTCTGTGTCTGTGTGTGTGCGTGTGTGTGTGTGCGTGTGTGTATGTACGTGTGTGTGTGTGTGTCTGTGTGTGTGCGTGTGTGTGTGTGCGTGTGTGTATGTACGTGTGTGTGTGTGCGTTTGTGCGTGTGTGTGTGTGTATGTTCGTGTGCGTGTGCGTTTGTGCGTGTGTGTGTGTGTATGTTCGTGTGTGTATGTACGTGTGTGTGTGTGTTTGTGTGTGTGTGTGTGTGTCTGTGTGTGTGTGCGTGTGTGTGTGTGCGTGTGTGTATGTATGTGTGTGTGTGTGTGTTTGTGTGTGTGTCTGTGCATGTGTGTGTGTGCGTGTGTGTATGTATGTGTGTGTGTGTGTTTGTGTGTGTGTCTGTGTGTGTGCGTGTGTGCGTGTGTGTATGTACGTGTGTGTGTGTGCGTTTGTGCGTGTGTGTGTGTGTGTATGTTCGTGTGTGTGTGTGTGTGTGTGTGTGTGTGTGTGTGTGTGTGTGTGTGTGTGTGTGTATGTTCGTGTGTGTGTGTGTGTGTGTGTGTGTGCTGCCTCCTCCACAATCGTCCCACATCAGTAGATCCTACAGAGAGCAGGTGTCCCCTCACCCTCTGACCCAGGCTCCGGGGCCCACCCTGCTGTAAACTGTCCATCTCAGGAGCACAGATGTGGGGGACGTCCCAGCTGTGTTTGGTAAACAGAGGAGCAGACACAGCAGAGTTCAGGGGCAACACCGTCTCTGTGTGTTTGATGAAAAAGTTCTGGAGATGTTCACAAGTGGCATCACTGGATCTTCATCTGACTAATGGAAAATCCTCATGTTCACTTTTGTGATCTAATGATAAATGGATTCAACAGAAAAATAAAAGGATGAAATGATAAACCCATGACATTCTGTTTATCTCTCTGTCATCTCTCCATCCATATATCAGTGTGCATGACAGCTTTATGAGACAAAGAGAGGACTACCCACTGCTCTGTGCTAATCTTTATTGGTGGGGCATTTCCTGAGGACAAAAGACACACTCACAGTCTCTGTGGGGGACACTTAAGAGTCCACACTTTACTACAAAGACAGAAACAGAAGGGGGACAGGCCTCCGCTCGACAGGCACGGGGGATGAGTGGTTACCACTCATGCTTTACAGCAAGAAGGTGCTGGGTTCAATCCCCAGGTCACTCTGGTCTTTCTGTGGGGAGTTTGCATGTTCTCCCTGTGTCTGGGGGGTTTCACTCCAGTTTCCCCCATCAACTTAAAACATAGGTACTCCTGACCAAGACTAGCTCCAGATCTGTCCCAGGTGACACTGAAGGATGGTCAAATGCAGAGGACAGATTTCCCAGTGGGAACCTTATGTGAACCATGACATTGATCAGACTGTATGTGTATGTACGTTCATACTATTGAAGCATGCACCGTACTCTGTATCAGAAAAACACACTGTACACACACACTGTACACACACACTGTACACACACACTGTACACTGTACACACACACTGTACACACACACTGTACACACACACTGTACACACACACTGTACACTGTACACACACACTGTACACACACACTACACACTGTACACTGTACACACACACTGTACACACACACTGTACACACACACTGTACACACACACTGTACACACTGTACACACACACTGTACACACACACTGTACACACACACACTGTACACACACACTGTACACACACACACACACACACTGTACACACACACTGTACACACACACTGTACACTGTACACACACACTGTACACACACACTGTACACACACACTGTACACTGTACACACACACTGTACACCACACTGTACACTGTACACACACACACTGTACACACACTGTACACACACTGTACACACACACTGTACACACACTGTACACACACACTGTAAAGACACTGTACACTGTACACACACTGCACACACACTGTACACACAGTGTACCATAGACTGTACTATAGTTTGTACTATAGTTTGTACTATAGTTTGTAGTATAGTTTGTAGTATAGTTTGTAGTATAGTTTGTACTATAGTTTGTACTATAGTTTGTACTATACATTGTATAACTGTCTCCATAGCTGCGCTCAGGAAACACACGTCGCCGGCACAAAGCGCTGTGATGGAGATGGATGTGACCTGAGAGTGTTTTTGTCTACAAACAAGCTACGGCGGCCTGCAGAACTCAAGACCAGGTTTGGTCTAAGTTTAGTCCTGGTTTAGTCCTGATTTAGTCCTTGTTTAGTTTAGCTTTAGTCCTGGTTATTTCTGCTTTAGTCCTGGTTGAGTCCTGCTGTGGTCTAAGACATGAGGAGTCTTCTTTATGTCTTGGTTTAGTTGTTATTTACTCACAGTTTGGGTTAAGATTGACTAAGTCCTGATTGGATCCTGGTTTAGTCATGGTTTAGTCTGGCTTTAGAACTGATGCAGTCCTTTAGTTTAGACCTGGCTTTCTCCTGGTTCACTTAGTCCTCTTGGTTTAGTTCTGGTTTGGTCCTGGACGGTCCATGAGTTTTTGTTTTAGTCCCAGTTGAGTCTTGGCTAGGATTTGTGACTGATGTTTATGTATCCTTACTTCAACTTTGGTTTGGTCTGAGGTGAGACCTTAGCTCTGGTCCTGGTTTAGTTCTTGTGTAGTCCTGGTTTAGTCCTGATGTAGTACTGATGTAGTCGTGGTTTTGTCCAGGTCTAGTTCTGGTTTGCTCCCGGTTAAATCCCAGTGTATTGCTGGTTTAGATCTGGAATAGTCCTAGTTTGGTCCTGGTGAAGTCCTGATTTTGTCCTGGGGAGGTCCTGGTGTACTTCTGGAGTAGTCCTGGTTTAGTCCTGGTTCAGTCCTGGTGCAGTCCTAGATGGATGTGCGTACAGACGAGTGTTTAGTTGCGTGTCTTACCTCTTGTGATATACGGAGGTGTGCGCTCCCGCCGGGCTCTGCTCCTTGTACAACCCGGTCTTCCATGTCCCGTCGGCGGCAGAGCTCATCCAAAACACCGCTACGGTCCACACCACCAGCGTCCTCCTCCACCACCACCTACACCTCCAACCCGCGGGCAGTGAGCACTTCTGAGTCCCCATGTCCTCCACGGCACAAGCGGCAAAGTTGGGAAGAGCGCCCCGAAAACAAGAGACTCAAATCGGCTGAAGAGCGGAGGACGCAGCGTGTGTCAGCGGGGCTCAGGGACTCCACTTGGACCGTACGCACATCCCGTTCACGCACGAGCACACTTCACACTTCACACGCACACGCACGGTATCGGTAAGGCAGCGTCTCAGGAGCGGTGGCCTCGTCTCGTAGCGTGGACAGCTCCTCCTCCTCCTCCTCCCGTCTCCTCCGCGCTCGGTTCTTCGGGTGCTTTTAAAGTGCTCCGGTGCACTCGGGTCCGGCCCACTTCACTCGGGACAATGGTGGAGTCCTGGTGGGTTCGTTGGAGCGGCTCCTCCTCTCCCTTCCTCTCCTCTTCGCTGGGTACAACGCGTGCGTAAAAGGAGGTGCCGCTGTCCATCCGTGTGCTCCAGGCTCCGGTTTGGGACTTTCTAAAGTTTTCTAACGGAGCTGCTGAACTTTGTCTTGTGTTATTGATGACACAAAAGGTAGGTCTATGTGTCGTCGTTTTAAAGGAAAACATGACAAGAGAGCGGACTACACTGCGCTGTTGTCATTTTTAATGCTCTTTTATTACGCAAAAGTGACTCTTTAAACCACGCTACAATGGTGTTATCTCATTGAAAACAAACCCGGGGTTGTGTTTTGTTTCATTCACACATGTTTGAGTAATTCTTTGTTATTAGCCTGTCTACTGTTAGGATAAACAATTAGGCTTAGGTGGTGTATAAATACTGCTGTGATGTAACTGAGGTGCTGACACGATCCATGCAGCATGATTTAATACTGTTAAATCCTGGTTTAGACCTGGTTTAGACCTGGTTTAGTCCTGGTTTAGTCCTGGTTTAGACTTATTTTTAGACCTGGTTTTAGTCCTGGTTTAGACCTGGTTTAGTCCTGGTTTAGACCTGGTTTAGTCCTGGTTTAGTCCTGGTTTAGTCCTGGTTTAGACCTGGTTTTAGTCCTGGTTTAGACCTGGTTTAGACCTGGTTTAGACCTGGTTTAGGGGAGAGCTATAGCCCAGAATGTGAAAACAGGAAAATACCACAGTGTTATCCATTTATTTTAACAAAGTAACTGTAATCCAATTACCACTCACTGAAACAGTAACTGTAACTGAATACAGTTACTCATAATTTGTACTCTGATTACGTAACTCCACTACATGTAATCTGTTACTCCCCAACACTGGATATTGATGTACTGTTATATTTGATTATTGGACTATTAGAATTCACTCTACAATGACCCAGAAAACAGGGACTAGATCACAGCTGAGGGAGGCAGAGATAGATTCAGTTCATGTAAAAGATTTTCTATTTCTATCTATATATATATATGCAAGATGCTCTCATAAGGGAAGTGAGATGAATCCAGGGGATCCCCGTCACAATCGGATAAGATTGTGCAACGTGCCAAGAGGCCTGTCTGGTCTGTGCACCAACTAAGAGGCACTAAGTCTAAACCATGGTCGCCTCCTGCTATAGTTTGAGTATAAAAATCATTGTATATTGTAATATTGTACCATATCTGATGTACTTTGTGAAAATTTGGGGTTCAACATATAAAACTTACCTACAACCTTTATTTATTTTACAAAAAAAGGACCTTAAGAATTATCACCAACAGTCATTGTAGAGAGCCATCCAAATATTTGTTCAACTTAAAGTGTTGAAAATGCAGGATATTGTCGACTTAAGTCTCCTCAAAGTCATGTATGAAGCAGTGCAATGTATGACCTGTAAATATTCAAAGACTGTTAGAGATGAGAACAAGACGCTACAATTTAAAATGAGCCTACATGTTTAAAAAACATACCAAAAAAGTACAATGATGGCATTTAAAAAATACATAAAATCAAATGCAGTGTGTATGTATGAAAAAGAAAGTTGTTGTGCATAATAGTGAAAATTTCTGTTTGCAATTCATCAGTTATTGTGCCTGAACTGATATTTCCATGTTTAGTGACCATCGGTGTTGATGTTTTGTCTTGAAAAAGGAAAGGGGGGCAGGTAACATAAGATTTTTTTCTTCTTTCTGCTCCTTTTCATTCATTTCTTGTATGTCTGATGTTGTGACACTGTCGATGTCTTTTTATGCTTTATGAAATAAAATAAATTAAAAAAAATAAAATAAATATTCAGTCCCTGCTTGGGAATGTCAGCACAGACTCCTTGTACGAGTATGACTTTTCTAATATTGGAATCAGTAATTATCTGGACTTTATTTCTGTTTCAAGTGTAATTTTTGTCTAAGCAGAAACACGCAAGGAAAAGGGTTATTTTCCTTAACACTACACCTCAAAAGCTCAAAATGTTCTGTTCCACTGCTACAATCTAGAAACACTAGAGACTGGCAAAACCCGAGGCTGAAATGATCCAAATGATTCTAGTGAAGGTGCATGGAGTTTAAAATGGTGTGGAGCACTTCCTGTACTACACATCAAAAACTGGAGGGTTAAAATTTTAGGGTAAAATATTTCAGAGTTGTTTTTAACACCAAAAGTGTTATTTTAACTATTTGAAAATTAAATGGGGGTTTGAGTTGGGGTTGATGTGGTTGAGGTTAATTCAACTTCTCTTAGTGTTAATTTGGCTCCTCCCAGTCACCACTTCAAACTCTTGTGAGAGAAGACCAGTTTGAACCAGTTTTGTACATAATTTATTCTTAAATTAACAAAAATAAAGTAAACATAAAATAAAACACCTCTGTGTGTTGTTTAGCTAAATCAGAATAACTCTACAAAGTGTTATTTGTTTACTCTCTAGATTTTGGGATTAAACAAAAACTTTGGTCCAGTGTTACTTAATTAACATTTCCAAAAATGTTAAAATAACTCTAGAACAGATTGGACTCATATAAACTTAAAGTTGATTCTGTGAGAGTCAATTTTAACACTCCACTTTTTGCTCTGTACCACATGACATCACAAGGTGGAACAGAGTGTTTTCTGTTTGAGAGAAAAACTAAATGTGCAGGGTTTATGTGTTAAACATGTGTGAATGAAGCAAAAGATAAGTGCAGGTCTGTTTTAGATGAAGAAACAACATCAGAACAGAGATCAGAACAGAGATCAGAATGTACCATAAGGTTTGAGTTATGAGAATATGGTCCTAACTGAACCTGTGTCACCAGAGTCTTAACCTGCAGATAGAGGACCACATTTTTCTCATTCTCAGTTTATGGACAAACCCGACCTCGTGTGAAAGCTCAGAACCTCCAGAATTCATTCCCTGAGCTGCAGAGGCTGCACTTGCACTGACTCATGATTGGCTCCTGGTGTTGACAAAGTAACAGTACTCTAAAGCTTTATGTGACAATATGAAATGATTTGAACGTTTGTGTTTCTTGCAGCTCCTTCAGATCTGATTTAGTTTAGATTTAGTCTCATTTTGTGTCGGTCTTTTGAAAACACAGAATTTTGTGCATTATTTCATGTTTTATTCTTCAAATTATTAATCAGATGTTATGTCCAGATTGTTATTCTTACTACTTTTTACTCTTACTTGAATAAAATTTTAGCTACCCCTGCGTTCACACCCCTGCATTCATACCCCTGCATTTATACCCCTGTTCACACCCCTGCATTCATACCCTTGCATTTATACCCCTGCATTCATACCCCTGCATTTATACCCCTGTTCACACCCCTGCATTTATACCCCTGTTCACACTCCTGCATTTATACTCCTGCATTCACACCCCTGCATTCATACCCCTGCATTCTGCATTCATACCCGTGCATTCACACCCCTGCATTTATACCCCTGCATTCACACCCCTGCATTTATACCCCTGCATTCATACCCCTGCATTTATACCCCTGCATTCATACCCCTGCATTTATACCCCTGTTCACACCCCTGCATTTATACCCCTGCATTCACACCCCTGCATTTATACCCCTGTTCACACCCCTGCATTTATACCCCTGCATTCACACCCCTGCATTTATACCCCTGCATTCACACCCTGCATTATACCTGTTCACACCCCTGCATTTATACCATAGCATTCATACCCCTGCATTTATACCCCTGTTCACACCCCTGCATTTATACCATAGCATTCATACCCCTGCATTCACACCCCTGCAAGGATCAGCCCTTTAAGAAGCATCTACATACACCAAACTTAAAGCTACAGTATAAGTAACTTTCTGGGGTTAGAAACTACATGACTCCTTGGAAGAAAAAAAAAAAGTTAAAACCACACTGTGAAACATTCTCCATTGAGATAGAAGTTTTATGTCATATTGTGGAAGATTATATTCAAAAGAACAACATTTCCATGAAAACAAGCAGGACTAGACCCTCCTCCAGACCAGGTACGAGTCAGGTTTGTGGAGATACAAGCTCGCTCACAGTGAGGACACGTTTTTCTGTTTTCAGTCCAATAAAAACATCCATTCTGTGGCTTTAACAAGATTTTGACAGATTGTACTGAAGAATATATAAAATGTCAGCAAAATAAAGCAAGAAAATAAAGAAAAAAGATGGGTCTTTTTATTTGCCAGATCTATGTCTTAGATACAATACATTACACCAGCGGCACAGTGGCTGAGTGGCTAGCACTCATGCCTCACAGCAAGAAGGTTTTGCATGCTTCTTCCCGTGTCTGGATGGGTTTCCTCCGGGCGCTCCGGTTTCCCCCATAAACCCAAAACATTCTACACAGGTCTCCAAGAACAGCTGATAGTCAAGGTCAGTTAAATACAATCAATACACGCATCAAGAATCTCAGACTTCCGGTCATTGTGCCATTCATACTGGGAAGGATTTTCCGAAAAAGTGAGCATCAAACCTCCATGTTTGTTTTTACAGTGGGATGTGGCTATTGACAAAGACGATCTTTTTAAGTCTTTTGAACCATATTGCTTTTGTTTCTGGTTTTGATATTGTCATATTTTAGTTTTGGGATTCGGACTTTGTAATTGTGTGGTTGTTGGATCCTAACAGCGGAAAACGGCTCGAGAAATTGTTTGTGAACTCCGTAAGTGCAAAAAGGAATCAGATGTGTGTGACTCAAACCTCCGTTCAAACTGTTTCTCTTCCCAATGGAATTGAAAAATAGTGAAAGGTGAAGGTGATGGGCAGGATTGATCCACGGGAAAGACGAAAAAGGAAACCTTTGACTGCCTAAATCATCCCAAGT